TCGCCTCTCTTTCTTTCTCATCTGTGCCCCAACTTCCCTGTCTGTAAAATACAAATAATACCATATACTTTGGAGGAGTGACAAGAATTTAAGCCAACATAGACATAAAACCCTCAGTGTAGTTCTTTGTAATGGAGTGAGCATTCAGTAGATGGTGGTCCTCATTTGAATTCCTAGTAATAAGGGTGAAAGTCTATGGTTTGAAAAAGAAATAAGAAAAAAAGAAAACACACTTATTATCCAAAGCCATATGTTAACAATAATAATCCCATTAATCACAAACCAGCCTCTCCCAAGCTACCCAAGTTCAACTTAACGTTTGCTATAAGATATTTCGGTTCCTACAGGGGATTATATGGCAATAGCTGAACAATGGGAAAGTTTGAGGTCAGATGCTTCCTCGACTGTTTCCAAAATAAACAGTTAGAGGAAGTTCACGCCCATTGGCATGAAAGCTTGAAGCAGGGCTGGGGGGCTGAGGAGGGGGCTCTGTTACTCTAAGTTCTCTACAGGAGGTGAGGGAGCGGATCAATACGTGGTTAAGTGTTTTAGCCACACTTTTATTATGTTTGACAGCGATGACAACGTAATACACACTGAATAAAATGACGAATGCGCACAATTTCTCCCTCTCATACACACTGCTTCTATTTTTCTCCCGAACCTCCTGAGTGAAAGCTAGTCATACCAGAAGCATGCAGAGTGGGAGTTCAGATTGGCCAGGGCCAAAATTACCCATGAATTCCACATTTCCAGAGTTGCAGAGGGGGACGTAACTACTCAAGGGGGAGAGAACAAAAAGGCTACATGTTCAATAGTTAATAGTCTCATCGACTGGGAAAGCCCTACTTGGTCACACATATTTCTTCATTTCTTTATCATCAGGCTGTGTCTCGTTCCCATGATGCGGGCAGAGTTCACGGACAAAGGAGTCAGAAAAAAATAAACAAACAGAGCTACATATACTTACGTAGATTTATGTAATACGGGGCTCAACTTTTATTTTTTAATGCTTTTACTCAAGCAACTTCACAAAATCACAGTTAGATGCCACCCAGTTCTACCTCTTGGCTGATCCCCAGATGTTTCCACTTGGACTTGAGGCCCACCAGGCAGCATCCAGATGTTTTGAGGGGGCAGAGGAAGTTCTTTCATTTGCGGCAAATTTGAGAAGTGAAGATTCATTGACTCATGTAATATTAATCTTCCTACACAAAGAATTTGGGACCAAGCTGTTTGCCCACTTTCCCAGTCCCGTGTAGGGTCATTTAACTAGGGTGGGCAGTGGGAAACCCATTTGGCTGGGATTTTGTACGGATGGCACTGAATTCCAAAATACCTACCACAGTTTCTGATTAGCCCTATGCAACTCTTTCTGTTCTTTTAAAAGCTATTTCATAGAGAAGGAGGAAACTTCCAGGCTTTTTGGAAGTGTTTCCTTATAATTTTGGACCACGTCACTGTGATAGGGAAGAACGAATGCTGACTCCATGTTGGATCTGTTCTTTTAGCTCTAACCCTGTGCTCTGTTTCCTGGACTTAATCCTGCTGGTTCTGCACCTTTTGTGAAAGAATGTTGCCTACTGCCTGAAGTATACAGGACAGCCATGCTCAAGGCTCTCACCTTTAAGGGTGTAATACTTTTCCATCTATATTGAGATAAAATGTTGCAGAACAGAGAATAACGTTTGTCTTGTTGGAGGTTTACAGGAACACCATGCCCTGACCCACGTGGACAGCTGCAAGAACAAAGAATTCCTGCACCAAGAAGTTTGCAACAACCAACCACAGCCCCTCCCCTTCTTAGTATAAAAGGAAGCTGAATTCTGACTTGGGGAAGATGATTCTCTAGGACTTTAGTCCCCCATCTTCTCAGTTCTGCTGGCTTTCTGAATAAAATTGTCATTCCTTGCCCCAGCACCTCATCTCCTGATTTATTGGCTTGTCATGTGGCGAGCAGAACGAGTTTGGATACAGCAACATCACCACCACCATGACCATCTCATGCTTGGTCTCCTGAAATCCTCTCCTAAGATTTGCTCTGGAATCCTGTTGTTCTTCTAAATACCCTCCCGTGGCTGCTCATCTCATTAGAACAGCAAATCTTTACAAAGCAGATCTTGTCAACAACTTCATAATCTGTTTCCTGTTTATCTCTGATTCAGTTTCATTTCATCTTCCTGCCTCACTGACACCTCCTGTTCCTGGCCCTGCTGCCTTGCTTCCTCTGCTTCATTCATACTACCTTTCTATTACTCATACAAGATTCGCACACTCCTGCCTGGATGAGTGGGTGGATGGGTGGGAATTCTTTCTCTGTTGTGTGTTCCCTTTATCCAAAATGTTCTTCCCTGGATGTTCCCATGGCCTGGCTCCACATTTCACTCAGGTCTTTGCCCAAGAGTTAACTGTTTGGAAAAACCTTTCATTTTCACTCTTGGTAAAATATCAGTGGACCCCAACGAGTCCCTGATTTAACTCTCTCCTACTCACCATTTCATACTATGGCCTGACATAACAAATAATTATGTGCTTAATTGATCCTGTCTGTCTGTCTCTATCAGAATCTAAACTCCAAGAGGGTAAGATATATGTCTGTTCTATTTCTTGCTGTATGTCCACGGCTGAGAACTGGACCTCACACAAGCTGGGGATTCACTCAACAAACACTTGTTGGATGAATAAGCACCGTTACTTTTATGTTTATATTCTCACGTAGTTTGTGAGAAATCTGCTCACACTTTATGGACATCACTGGGACTCTGGTATGCTTCCACTTACAATGCCTGTTTTCCTGAAGAATTAGCTGAGGAATGGAGTAAACCAGATGTTTTCAGAGCAGCCATTCAATGATCAGAACCAGGACTTCGCTCTTTTGCTGTTTCTTTGCAATAAATCAATATGGGTCCTTATTAAAAAATAAATAATAAGTCCTAGAGATATAATATACAGCATAGTTAATAAGACTGTATTATATTTTTGAAAGTTGCTAAGAAAGTAGATCTTAAGTGTTCATCACAAGAAAAAAATATTTGTGACTATGTGTGGTGATGGATGTCAATGTGATTGTTTCACAGTATATACAAATATTGAACCATTATGCTGTACACCTGAAACTAATATATTATATGTCAATTACATCTCAGTCAAAAAGGGAGTAATAGACATACCACATCTCTATTGCCTGAAGTGATACTTTATTGCACTTAGCTCAAGAACTGAGCTTACAAGGAAGCATGAGAATATTACTGGACCCGCACCAACTCCACTGATGGCCTTTCTGGACTTGGGATGACATTAGATGCATGGTTGCTACCATGGAAACTTCTCATTAAAATGTTACGTTTTTTAACTTATAGATATATAATCTGATCTTTTTTGGATGCTTAATTTAAAAATATGTAACAAACTGAAATCCCTTTATTTTTTTCCTCTTCTTTTATTGGTCATGCTCTGTTGGAATCCTCTGTACTCTGTACACTATGATTTTACTCCAAGGTTTCTTGTAGGCTCATTCCTCATTGCTCTGCTTTGCCATGAGGTCACCGAGACCTCAAAGTTAAGTTCTCGGTCAATATTTGTAAACCAAATAAATGATTTTTCAGGTCCCAACTTTACAGCAGAGTAGTGTGAACTTGCTAACTCCAGACCTCAGTCTGGAGAACAGTCATGCATTGTTGCATTATGAGCCAGAATTTCTTAAAATTTGCTGCAACATGTTTTTGAAGAGTGTGATTGATTTTTTGTATGATGAGATAACAAAGATGGTATAGTGAATGTATACCCTAAAAAGAACCATTTATTTCTGATTTTGAAATTCTTTTCATCAAAATGGTTTCCCTCTCAATAAGATGCATTTTTCTGTGCTAAAAAAAAAAAAAAGCAAGCAGAGATCTGTCAAAAGCCACATGCAACTCCCTCAAGAAACTCAAGGAAACCAAGTATTAGATATAGATAAACTTATCCACCGTGACACAAATGTTGACCTAAATTTCCTCTGATTATATTAAGGCCCAAGAAGGGCATTTTAGACCTGCAACAGACTCAGAAATCTTTGACACTTGAACACACTGACTCAACATCTTCTTAGGCTGGAGATTCACATTTGAAGTTTGCCCTTCAAAAATGGGGAAAATCCTAGCTAGTCACCGTCCTTGGTTGAATGATGCCCAGATAAAAGAAAAAAAAATCTAATCTTCTTTTCATTTAAACAGTTTTAATTCCCCAAGTTAAACAGAGAAAATGAAGATGTGGAATTGAAAGTCTAAGGCCATCCAGAGGTTTTCTGCGGAGCATGGACTTGATGTGTACCTACTCAGATGACTTGAGTCCCAGCATTTGAATAGTACAAAGTTTACCTCTTTTTATA